ATTCTGTCGCCCAGACTGGAGTGCAGTGGCTGCTCCCGGCCACCGCAGCCTTGAACTGCTGGGCTCCGGCAATCCTTCCGCCTCAGCCTTCCAAGTAGCTGGAAATACAGGCGTGCGCTACCACACCCGGCTAATTTTTGATTTATTGTAGAGATGAGGTCTAGCCAGGTTGCCCAGGTGGGTCTTGAACCCGCGGGCTCAGGCAATCCACTCATCTCAGCTTCCCAAAGGTGCTGGATTACAGGCTGAGCCACCAAGCCCGGCTGCTAAACCTGATTTCTAATGTCCCACCATATATATGTCACCAGTTACTTGGTCATTTCCTTTATGGTTGGATGCTTAAAATATTTGTACCAGCTGGGCACAGTGGCTCATGCCTATAATCGTAGCATTTTGGGAGGCTGAGGTGAGAGGATTGCCTGAGCCTGCGATTTCGAGACCAGCCTGGGAAACTTGGTAAGATCTCATCTCTGCAATAAATCAAAAAGTTAGCCAGGCATGGTGGCGCGTACCTGTTGTTCCAGTTACTTGGAAGGCTGAGGTGAAAGGATTGCCTGAGCCCAGCACTCGAGGCTGTGGTGGTCGTGAGCTTGCTCCTGCACTCCGGCTTAGGTGACAGTGGGACTCCAACTAAAAAAAAAAAAATTGTACTTTTTTAATGTTATGAATAATGTGTGATGTAAGGAAACTTTGGGGGTTCTGGGAAGGTTTTGAATCTTGATAGGAGTGCTGGTTAAAACAAAAACATTGTGGTGAACATCTTTGCGCAGTAGACACTTGACATTTACAAGGAGTACCATTGAGGCCTCAAAGAATTCCAAATTTACAAATATGGAAATGGACTTATGGGCCAGGCTCCTCTTTAATCACATTTCTATGGTGAATCTTGTGTTCTCTATACACACACTAAAACAAGTTAACTGCCTTAATTTTTTCTCCATGAAAGGAACCAATTTTTTTCATCTCTTATTATGCTTCTCTCTATGGTCTGCCAATGCACAAGGAAGCTAACTCAGAATCAGGTCCTTGGTGGGTGGCTGCTCCTGCTTACTCAGTGCATTGCTCACACACATACACCAGGCTCACAGTGTTCTATTTAAGTTTGTACTTCAGCACAATTGAAAATTACTAAGTATTGTGGACTTTTTATGGTTGCTTACAATAGTTAAGCCCACAAATTTTAAATCCATAAATGCCTAGAGGTGATAGAAATCTGTTCAGATCTCTGGTGACTTCCATAGGGTAGATTTATTTTTAATTTTTTTTATTTTTATATATTTTTATTTATTTTTATTTATTTTTTATTTTTGAGTCAGAGTCTTACTCTGTCACCCAGACTGGAGTGCAGTGGCTGCTCCTGGTCACCGCAGCCTCCATCTGCCGGGCTCTAGTGATCCTTCTGCCTCAGCCTTCCAGTAGCTGGAACTACAAGCCCACCTGGGTAGATTTTTTGAAGTCCAGTTAGGGATTATGAAATATAATGTCATGTTACTTTCTGGAAAGGTTATAGCAGGGGAGGCAGCTATACTATTTTGCTAATAAGAATCTGGAACTCATGGAGATTAAGTGAGTTTCTGAGTGTGGATTTGAACTTTTGAGTTATTTGATTCCAGAGCCCAGGTTCTCAAAAGTGGAAAAAGTAGGGTATAGCTTCATTCCTCCTGTAAGAAGCTGGGTTTTGCAAAAAACTTTGATTTGTAGAGCGGTGGTTCTCAAACTTCAGCTTGTATCAGAATTGCTTGGTTAAAATACAAGGTAGGGCCGGGCTCGGTGGCTCAGCCTGTAATCCCTTGCCTTTGGGAGGCTGAGGTGAGTGGATTGCCTCAGCCCGTGGGTTCGAGACCCGCCTGGGCAGCGAGACCTCATCTC